AGGCTCCAGCCCCCGGCCCCAGCCTCCAGCCCCCAGCCCCAGCCACCGTCTCCCAGCTTCTGGCTCCAGCCTCTGGCCCCTGGCTCCAACCTCCAGCCCCCTTCAGTAAGTATCCCACACCAGACCGAGGCAATGTGCTCATGGACCACGGCTCCTTAGAGGGAACCTTGGTCCCCAGCCATGCAGCCATCACGTGCATTTTTGGGGTCATAGTCCCAATGTTCACATCATGACAGTGGTCCAAAGCCTCCAGCTCCTCCTGCTCCCCTGTAGTGCCAAATGTTTTGGTTGCCTGGAAAACCTTCTCTTTGGATAGTATTTGCGCTTTGGACAGCTCCTCATAAAGTGTATATTTGCCTTTTTGCTCAGGCTCTCTTGTTGGCATCTTTCATCCGGTGAAAGTCACATTTCATCACCTTGTTCTTGCATCAACACTGCTTAAAGTCTCCACTGTGGCCACGAAGTTGCATCTGCTCTGCAATGTACTGGAAGGCCACTACAACAAAAGCAGCTTTCTCCAGCAGGCACTGGATTTGCTCTTCTTCCCTATGTCCAAGAGGTCTCTCAGCTCTGCTTTGTCCCAGTTGGGTCCCCAGGGGTTTGGCTGAGGAGCAAGAGCAGTCTGTACCTTCCCTGAATGGCACGTATGCCTGCCTGTTCTTGGCTTCCATGGCTGATTGAAGGAAGGTCTGTCTTTAGTAAGACTCGAAGGTTAATGCTCATCTCTCGCAAAACAGTGACTGTAGGGCCTTATTCTGACAAGGGCAATAACCACCCTACCCTAGCCTGGGTGAAAATTTGAATTTTTGCAATACAATACAGCCAGCCAGCTGCACCCCGCACACATTAACGAAGCCTGAAAGCTGAATTGAGAGCCAGAAGTTGTGCTCCCCATGGTGGGGGTCTCCCCTCTCTTTACTGGAGAAGCAAACTGAAGCTATGTAAAGAGACTCTCTCTCCCTGTACCTGAGGTTTTCCATCTCAGGGCTTGAGACCTCTGTCCTTCCTTTTTGTTTTTTCTGGGTTTTGAGAGGGATGATGCCATAAGGAGGGTATCAGTCCCTGCAGCAAACTAGCCAAGGTTGGAGCCTGGCAGTTTTGGTGGTGTGATCTGGGCCAGGGATGAGAGCCTGGCTTGTTTCAGTTGCTGCTGCAACTTCTTTTGGGTTCAGCACAGCCGTGTTGCTGAAACCCAGCTACATGTCTTGCTGGCAGTTTTGGCCACGTAGGCTTTGAATTGGATGCTACCATGAGTGTATTCTTCCCTAGTGCAGGCTGAGTAGGAATGGGGTCCTGGCAGCTGCTGGCCCCCCATGTTGGGGACTGTAGTAGTATAGCTGGGACTAGATGCCCAGGCTACAGCCATAAGCCCAGGCCCTTTTTACTGTTTCACAGCTGTTGCATTTCAGCCTTGCTGTGTGGGGATGACCCCCAGCCATATGTTGGCTGGCAGATTTGGGACTGGAGGAAACTGGCAGGTGCTCAGCAGAAGGGTTACACACACACACACACACACACACACACACACACACTTGTTAATTTTTCACTTGACAAAGTGTCTGTGTCACATTTGCTCCATTTCTTGCAGTAACCCCATAAATGCAGTCTGGGGTGGGGTGGAAAAAACCCAGGGAATTTAGTGGCAGCTGATGAGAGTGCAGGAACACACTTCTCCCAAGTGTGCATGGCACCCTGGGGGGAGCTTGTTGGTCCCTTGGGCTTCAGAGGCTGTCATGCAGGGGTTTCCCACCATCACTGCTATGGGTGGGGGGCAGGTATTTTACCCACTCCCCATGGTGCTCATGGGACTGTGTGGGAGAGCTTTTGGAGGTCTCTGGTTCTGACAGGGGCACGGAGCTGCACCAAGACAGAAGCCGCAGTCCCAGCTCTTCCCTTGGCAGCAGCAGTCGTGGCAGGAAGCCTGCCCCTGGAGCACACATGGCGGGGCAGTTCCCCTCCTACAATGCTCCTGTGTCTTCTACAGATGTGCTTACTGGGATGGCACACTGGGGATCATGCCATCTGCACCCCCTGCCTCCGTTGCTCGCTCACTCCCTTCTTCCTTCCCTTCTTCCATGAAGGATGTTGTGAAAATGATTAAAAAAAAACATTGACCAAGTTGATTTTATTCTGTTCCTTTATTTTATTTGTCTTTATAACAAAGGAGATGGTATATACCACTCACTTGCATGCAACAGTGCAATTAGATTATGCAGCCTGGCACCCCCTGCTACCTACTCCACAGAACTACAGCAAGGCATGAAACATGTATGAAGCCATAACATGCATATTCATTTTTAAAAACACTTAACAAAAAGCACTAAAGTTAAAGCACCTTTGTATGTGCATGTGTATAGATGTCCTAAGGTGCCTAGGAGCTTGTCTAACTAGGTACTGAATGGCCTAGTGCCACTTATATAGCATAGAGGTGGAGTAGGGTTGGGACATAAAAACTGCTCTAAACTTTGCTTCCCCATCAGCTACCTTCAGCATTAGACTATTGCCTGACATTCTTGTTTCCTTTCTCTGAAACCCAACAGGAGCACAGCAGGTTCCCATTCTTATTTTCCTTCCTTAAATTGCTATTTGATTGGAGACTGGTTGAATGGAGATGGAGATGAGAGTTAAGGGAAAGGGAGAGAAACAGAAGAAGTGTTATGAGTCCAGGGGAAAGACCTTTCCTGTATCCTGGTATATCAGTAGAAGTACAGCTAGACAACAGTAAAAATTAAAACCTACAATGCAAACATTTGTATTTATACTCTGTAACGAAAGATAAATAATTTTGTAACTTTATTCTGTAAACCTAGTGGTTGCTATACTGTTTTGTTTTTAAACAGAATAATCCAAAACCAGAATGAAGTTCACCTTTTTTTTTGTGTCTGTTGCTTGTTGGCCTTTCTATCCATTGTCAACATGTGCTTGGCCAAGAAGATGAAGTGAATGGTCAGAAAAAGACAAATCCACCAGAACAGCATTTTCAAGCCAAAGGCAATACAACGGGTGAAAACATGGCCTATCATAAGATAGGCCCGAGCAATGCTGACTTTGCATTCAGGTTCTACAGGCAGGCTGCATCACAGGAAGACGGCAAGAATGTTTGCTTCTCTCCTGTGAGCATCTCCACTGCCTTTGCAATGCTCATGCTAGGTGCCAAGAACACCACACTGAGGCAAACTCTGGAAGCCTTTGCTTTTAACCTGACAGAGATTGAGGAGAAAGAGATCCACGATGGTTTCCGGCATCTACTTCACATGCTAAACCAACCAGACAGTGGGGTCCAGCTGAGCATGGGAAATGCCCTGTTTATAAAAGATGGGCTGAACGTACACCCAAAGTTTTTGGAGGATGTCAAAAGCTTTTATGAGTCAGAAGCTTTTTTGAGCAACTTCCAGAATCCTCCTGAGGCTGAGAAGCAGATCAATGATTACATAGAGAAGAAAACTGAGGGGAAAATTGCCAACTTAGTGAAGGATCTGGATCCAGATGTTTTAATGGTTCTGGTCAACTATATTTTCTTTAAAGGTAAGTTGTGTTACAGAGACGTATACCTTCTACACATAGACGGTAGGAAAATAGGAGTATGATCCAAAAAAAGAACATCTTTATTAATGAAACTGCATGGTCAACCATTTTTTACACCAAAGAGTGCTGAACCTGAAAGCACTTCTTTCACTATATCACTTCTTATCAATATTTATGTATCTAAGTGTGTAGTGTTAGGCACTTACCTGAGAAACATGATTTCATCAGGAGCACAGTTCAACACTTCATATTTAAAAAAACCAAAAGGTGCAGGTCATCTTAATGCTACTGCAAAACTAGGGAGCTAAAAAAGATAAAGAAATCCACAATTCCATGAATATTCTTGTGTAGAGGCATTTTTTGTGTGTAGAGTTGTGCAGTGCCCCATGACTGAATTTTTGCACATTAAGGCAATTTTCCAACTGTATAAGTGACATTCCCCATGCAATGTGGACAGTAAATCATCCACACACTTACTGAATGTGTCATAGCCACCAAATTAGCAAAGAAGGTCCATGGCCCTGGACCCAAATACAAGTCCTGAAAAAGGAGGAAGAGAACACATCTAGATTTCAGTTCCAATAGTTAAGTGAGGACTGTATTCACCACGGCCAGAAACCCAGGCTCAAGGGAGCCCCCCTCAAGGGGTTTGAGCCTGCATCACCCTCTGACTTCTGAGTAGAGTGCTCTAAACACCAGACCACAGCTTATCCAATACACCCCTTGGAACTGAACCATTGAGCCTGGCCTTTAATTGCATGAAGTAGACAGAAAGTCAGACATTTCTACTCCACTGGTCCTAAGGTCGAGACGACAACCCAAGGACCTTTCACAGCAGCATCCAAATCACCGAGTCACGCATCCACTAGCTTGTTACAGTGGTGTACCATGGGTCTCTGGCACCCAGGAGCCAATGCTTGCATTTGACCCCCTCCCCCCAGGACGATCTGAGCAGGGTGCAAGGCCCCCTCTCCCATCAAACAGCATGTCTGCAGGGAAATTAACAGTGCGGCGCACTGGATGTGGTGGGCTGGGGCAGCGGCCAGAATTTCTGGTCAGAACAGCTACAGAAACTTACAACCCGCCGGGGGGCGAGCTACACACCAAACATGGGAGGCACTGCAGCCTCTCTACCCAGCTCTGAAGGGCCCGGCCGGTTCCTCCCCCAGACCAGCCCCCAGCGCCTGGGGGCCTTGACCCCCTCCCACCCCTCCCCCAGAGGTACGCCACTGGCTTGTTCACCTTCTCCTTGGCTCATATAGCTCCCTCTCTCAGATGCCAGCTCCCAAAGGAGGGCTACCAAAAGAACTAAATAACACATAGCCTGTAGTTCAGAGGTTTAAATACCACATAAGGAAGTTAGAGGAACAGAGTGGATGAGGTGGGCCAATAAACTAGGTTTCCTGTTGCGAGGGGGAAGTGTCCTCACAAATCAGTTGCTTGAACTAAAAAATGAGAGGTCCTGCTACTCATGGTTTTAGCCAGGTAAAATGTCATGTGCAACAGTGACCCAATACACATACACAAAGAGCAGTATGACTGCCCAGCCACAACATTAGCTACTGGACAGTCATGGTAGCCTAGCATCCATGCAGCATGGAGAACAAGCTCACAAGTGCTGCATAAGTGCAGTTATGTATGCAGAATGCTGCTATTTGGGTGCAGGAGATGAAACAGGATTTAACCCTTAATTGTTTGCAAGTCATTCAGTTTTACACCTGAACGCAAGATGGATGAAGGAGTGCATTTACTGAAATGGAAAGTGCTTTAGTTGAGCAGAAAAGAGCATATGCACTCTGGTAAGGGAGCATATAAGCACTTCCCACAGTACTTATTTCCCACATAAGAGAAGTCAAGAGAAGTTTTGCCATTGTTCAGAGATAAAATAGGATAATTTTTTCATGACTTAGGCACTTAAAGAATTTTACTCATATCTTACCCATGGGAATGGACTGAGACTGGCAGAGGTAGAGGAAGTCTTACTGCAAAGTTTAAAAACTACTAAACCAACTGTTTAAAAAGCAGCTATTCTTCAGCTTACCTGAATCTTTTCTTTCCACACCATTCTCACTGTTGAGTCACATTCCCCAAACCGACAGCTACATAAGCAAACTAGGTGTTCACAGCTTGGAGAGCCTCAATTTAACACCAGGAATAACATGGTAACTTTGCTTTCCGCAGAGGGATACCTGTCAAGACAACCGTATCTTTCCATTTCATCTCGTTAGGGCTGTTAACCCTTCAAACAACATGTCAGTGTATCAGAAATGCTGCACAGGGCAAATATATCATGACTGAAATGCACTAGCAACTGACTTCACACTCCAACAAGGCATATTACATTTAAATTGGTCTGATAAAACATTAATAATTCCTTTCCCAATACATTCAATCATATTCTCTCTCTTTTTGTCATAAGCTTATTGGAAAAGTCCTTTCTTTGAGCACATGACCCAGGAAGATCATTTTTTTTGTGGATAGCAAAACATCTGTCAAAGTAAAAATGATGCATCAAAAAGGTTTCTTTGGTATTTACCATGATGAGACCCTGTCTTGTTGGGTAGTTGAAATGCCCTACAAAGGAAATGCGGCTGCATTATTTATTCTGCCAGATGAAGGAAAAATGAAGCAGGTAGAAGATGCTCTGTTGAAAGAAACTGTGCGTAAATGGGAACAAGCACTGGAGCAAAGGTAAACTTTTAACTGGTGTTATGGTCGTGTCTATTTTACTTAAAAAGAAGCTAAAACCCCACACTGAGTTGTTCTCAATGAAAAATTTAACAGTCCTTTCAGTTGTTTTCCAGAACTAGTTAATTGGTCATATGTAGGGACCTAACTAATTAGGGGTGACTGCCTTCTGATTTTGCAGGCCTGGGGTAGAACTGGGTGCCATTTTCGCAGTTGCCTCTCATTTTGCAGGTGCCTCTGGCCAAGGGACAGAGGAAATCCCACCCTTCCCAAAGACTAACAGATGGCCTGAAATGGAGGCTTGCTTATTAACACAGCAATTCATGGCTTCCCTGAGCCAAGGGAGTGCTGGGGGGAGGTGGGGGGCAGCACACTCCCTGGTGGACCCAGAAGCGGACCGGACATGCTTCTGATCCACTACCGGGTCTTCTGCTGAGCATGCTGGGGAGCGCCCCTGTGCTTCTGTGGGATGCTCCATCTGCCCCAGCATCTCAGCATCGATGAGCCGCCTACTATCTTGAGGTATATAGAAAAAACATTTAAAGCTGTGTCTATGTCCAAATCACTGAATCTTTTCAAATCTGTTCGGAGGGTTCTGATTCAATTTGGAGAGATTAAAGGGTCCTCTGATTCTGTTCAGATTCGGCCACCAAATCAGGCCGAATCTCCACCGAATTGAATCAGGGACTGAAGCTTCGCACAGCCCTACTTAATAATACAGTGGCAATTAATGACTTTCCTGGCCTTAATCCCCTGTGAAAGCCATTTATTGCCACATTATTATTAAGCAGTCTGAGCACCTAAGGACATTATTTACAAGATTTTACTGTAACTGAATGCTAACCTTAAGGCACACAGCTCAGGCTGTTATTAAATGCAAGCATGCTGCACCCAACCACAATGGCAGGGGACATTCTTTACCTCTGTGGGGTGAACACTTGTTCATACACAGGGATGGCACATTCAGCTTCCATCGCTGGAATGATGAGGCAGTATCTTGCCAGGGCATAAAGATAAGGAAACCAGTCACAGACCGAGTCCCGCACACAGGCATCTGGAACTCTGGCAAAGTTCACACAAGCAGCACATTCATTGTCATTCTGTTTCCTCATCCCAGGATTGTTTTCAGTAGCTGAGGGTCACAAATCAGTAGAGACACCTGGTTGGAGGTCCAAAATGCAAATAATAGCACTAAGGAATGGGCAGCCTGCTGTCTGAACCATGGTGGCAGTGACAGGTCATACCTGTAGTAATGGTTCAGCTTCCCAACTAGTGCCTGGAACAGCTTCCTTCTGCACTGGTTTTCACAAGGGAAGCCTGACAGTTCTTGTGACGCTCTGCCTTTGACCCCACTTATCCAGTCCGCCACCTTGTTGTTGTTGTGTGGTGGATCACAGGCCTTCAAACCAGCTCAGAAGCTCCATGAGCTAGGTGGCACTGTCAGCCACAAATGTCACTTGATCTTGAATGCCCCTAGGAGATTGCAAAGCTTGAGCATGCACTTCCTGGTGGGTGTGATTTCCAGCTCCTAGCTCACAAACTCCTGATAATGCTGCATGTGCTTGGCTTGGTAACAGACCGCATTTAACCATGAATTCTACTGAGTGAGCTCAAGCTCTGGTGGCAGTGGCACAGGGGCAAATGAGTCCCCACTCTGACTGGCAATGGACTCTCTGTACCAGAGCTTACAACCTGGATAAAGCTCAAAGGCTTTCTTGAAGAAAGACACCAGGCTATCCACCTCGGGGAACTGCATGCACCATATGTCGCTTACTAGGGACAGAATGTGTGCATTGCAAGTGACATGAACAGTGTTGGGCAGCATTCATTGGAACACATCAGAGAAAGCCTTGCACATGTACATGGCTTTGTCAGACAGGAATGCTGAGATCTTGTTAAAGTCTACACCATAGCTGACAATTACCTTCACAATTGCTTGGGACATAGTGGAAGAGTTGACAGGGGTGAGGTGGACTGGCTCAGTTTGAAACAGAGGCAGGTTCCAGTCGGTCCAGCCCCCACCGTACAAATAAAATGTGCAGCACATAGTTCTCCTGAGGGTCAGTGGCTTCATCAGCCACAATGAAAAAGGAATGATACTCTGCCAAGGCAACCTTTGTAGACTCTACATGCAAAGCAATCACTGCAGGAAGATAGTCCTGACAAAGCTTGTTGGCACACAGAAAACTGTCAACATTGGGCATGTTTTGTTTCAGGTACTCCCTTATAGCTTGGGGTGATCATGTTTCTCCAGTGGGATGTTGGCCACCACATAAGCCTCCACAAGGGAAAATCCTGCCCATCATGGTGCCAAGCTGCTTTCTGTGGTCCATTTAAACAGGGAGGATATGGTTGCTTGCTTCTTACTCTGACCTTCAGCTGCTGCAGCAGCCTTCCTCTTCATTGAAAAATACAGCTGCTAGGATTGTAACTCCTCAGTACTGCAGCTAATACAAAAACATTTACCTATTATAACTAGGCAATAAGAAATCAAAATGATCAATACTTGGTAACTTCAGTGAAACAGATGTATAAAAATACAGCCTATTTAAGTACCCAGTGCCCTGGTGATAATTTCCTGGCATTTTGTATTTCTTTTTGAACAGAAACATAGATCTTTACCTTCCAAAATTCTCTGTCTCTGGCACCTATAAGATGATAACCCTGCTGCAGAACATGGGTCTGATCGATATATTCTCTAAGAGGGCTGATCTGTCAGGAATCACTGGGAATCCTGATCTCAAGGTCTCAAAAGTAAGTTTTGCCAATGTAGTGGATGTTCAGTGGATTTGCTTCTTCCCATGACGTGTAGGTTCCATCTTTCTAAGCTCCCCCTGAACCATGCTCTGAAATGCCTCAGTGAAACATGGGATACTTAGGTATATAGATATTTTTTAAGTGTGGCGTTGTGCAGTACCCCATGAATGGATATTTTCTTTGCATGTTACAGCAACTTTCCAACTGTGTAAGTGCCACAACTACCCAGCAAGTGAAGTGTGTGTTCAGCAAGCATCAATACATTCATTGTCTCAGGCTTCCTTATTAGCACATGCCCAGCACCACTATAAGCTACACAATGAAGCATATATAATACAACATCAATCAGTTCATCCTCTCAGATCTACTGATTTATGTGTGTTTATAGAACCTTTCAGGGGATGAAGTGTGCAGATTAGGCAAGATGTACTGAAGCACTTGCAAGCACAGTCCTTTGATGGGGAAGATACCTTCTAAATAGTACAGTCTTGCTTCCAGTGAGATAATTGGTGACTGATTGGCTGTGGCTATGGGAGTAGCTGGAAGCCACAGGTTTTGCTCTTAAGACCATCACAATCTGTAGGATCACAATTAGGACCAGTGACAGAACCAGAGTTTGAAGGGGTTGGAGCCCCAGAAAGAGACCAGTGGTATTGGGAGTCCAGGTAAGGACAGCACTAGTAGAATCACTCCAGACCTTGCGGGGAGGAGGAAGAGGGGGCACCTCCCAACATAACAGAACATTAACATCAAGACATGGCAGATGAGAAACCAACTGGACATTCCAAGGAACTGGAGTGGGATAAGATTTACCACAGCCTCACTCAGGGCCCAGTCCTATCACAAATGAGGAGATAAAATAATTGAATGGTAAAATGTAGGGAA